ATCCCTGGCAGTGTTCAAGGCCAGCTCGGACGGGGGTTCCCACTATTCCTCCTCTAAATAGTGTTTTAAACAGCACAGGAGTAAAGAGTGTAGTACAAGAACCTTCTGGTCAGTGCAGCAAAGCCACAGCCGCTCTCTTCCCTTGACACAGGGGAGCAGGGGATGTGGCTGTGGGTTTTCTGCTGTTACTAGCTGCTGAGATTCTGTCTAGTCTCTCGTGTCACATTAATCACATGGACACTGAATGTTTTTAACACACAGAAATCAGTCTGGTTATTCTGGAAGATGTTATAGGAGCACTTTAGAGTTTTCTTTAATTCCTCCTGCATTGTACAGTTCAAGACTGTTTGTTGATCAAAGCAATGTCATTTTCTTTGCATAAAAATACTCTAAATATAGAATCATAGAATAGTTAGGATTGGAAAGGACCTTAAGATCATCTAGTTCCAACCCCCATATAATGTATTGTTGCAGCAGAACAATGTTGTTAGAATAAAAATGTTCAAAACCCGCACTGAGGATTGAATTGCCTTTTAGCACCTTTAGACTCTGAGGCATTTATAAAGTGTCTAATATTATTTGAGGGGCTTTTCCCCCACCTGAGCTTGTTGCTCATGTTCCTCTTGGAGCACAATCTCTCTGTACTTCTAGTCTCTGTTCTTTTCAGTTGTTTGGTTGCAGATACAACGGCCTGTGTTCGTGCAGCATCTCCTCTCAACATGTGTAATGTTGAGTTTCCTTGGAACTTGCTTTCAATGGAGTTTTGTGTGAGGCACACACAAGCCTGCCAGCTTCCTCCCAGCATGTTTCAGCACGTCACAGGCCTCTGACTGCAGGCATTTGCTGGTAATGAATAAAACCAGGGGTGTTTGCAGGAGGGCTGTGCTGTGGGGGAGCTGGGCACCAGCACAAGAACTGGCCACCAGGGAGGACAATGTGGCTTTGGATCTGTGCTGACTCCACATCACCAGCAGTAAACATTGAGAGCTGCCCCATCGGGGCCAGGAAGGAAATTCTTTGCTTCCCACTTGCTCTTGGCCTGATTTCCCAAGGCGAGGAATCTTCTGTGGCCTTTCCGTGGCTTTTGTCCTCAAGAGAAACTTGTGAACACCAAGTTCTGTGTGAGGGGGAGGTCTCAGCTCCTGCCCCTTCTGTGCACTGTGTGAGCTCCCTGATCACAGACATCCAAATCTCGATAGAGTCTGGTTTCTCAGCTGCTACGACACTGAGCTTTGGGATATGAAGGAAGCAGCAGCCCAGTGCTGACAACCTTTGCTGCCTCTTGCTGTGGTTGGAGATGAGAGTGAAAATGGGGGAAGCAGAGGCTACAGCACAGATGTGGTGAGGGGATAACATCATAACCTGGCTTTGTTAGCTCTGCTGATCACAGAACTGGTTGTGTGTCCACACACAGGCCATAGAATCATAGAATAGTTAGGGTTGGAAAGGCCCTTAAGATCATCTAGTTCCACCCCCCCTGCCATGAGCAGGGACACCACACACTAAACTGTATCACCCAAGGCTCTGTCCAGCCTGGCCTTGAACACCTCCAGGGTTGGAGCATTCACAACTTCCTTGGGCAACCTATTCCAGTGCCTCACCACCCTCACTGTGAAGAACTTCTTCCTTATATCTAACCTAAAGTTCCCCTGTTTAAGTTTAAAGCCATCACCCCTTGTCCTACCACTAGAGTCCCTAACGAAGAGTCCCTCCCCAGCATCCTTGTAGGCCCCCTTCAGATACTGGAAGGCTGCTATAAGGTCTCCACGCAGCTTCTCTTCTCTAGGCTGAACAGCCCCAACTTTCTCAGCCTGTCTTCATATGGGAGGTGCTCCAGTCCTCTTATCATCCTTGTGGCCTCCTCTGGACTTACTCCGGCAGCTCCGTACCCATGTCAGATCTATAATCCTTCAGAAATTCCACTAGTAATAGATACCACAGAACATCTGAGTTGCGAATCCCACTCTCAGACTGCTGTAGTTCTCTTTGGGGTGACAGATACCTACAGGGAGAAGATGAAGAGGTAGGGGGGGAAATTCAGGGTTCAGTGCAAATGATTTGGAGCGCTCAGCTTCGTGTCCTTTATGAGCAGGTTTCTGCTGCCTCAGCCATCACTTACTTAGGGCAGGTCCAGGACTGTGTGTTACCTAAGAGTGGAGTAAGTGCTGTGTCCATAATTACTCACTGTTTTGGGGTTGCTTTGCTGCAGGTGTGACTCAGGGCCGTCACATTCCTCTGTTAGTTTCTAACTTGTCTCCTTTTTTTCCCCTTTCTCCTTGTTAGTCGCTTGTCTTGGCTGGAGAACTCCGGAGTTGGCTTCTCCTTGGATTATCCCACCATAAGTTTACACGCTGTCTCCAGGGACCTGAGTGCCTTCCCATGGGAGCACTTGTATGTCATGGTGAACGCCAGGTTTGAAGGTACGCCTGGAGCATCGCTTGGGGTTGCCACAAGGTTGTGTGTGGCATGATTTCCTCTTCAAAACCACTGAATTTGGGGTTTAAAAATGCTGTGCTTCATTTAAGTATTTTCTGTTTCATTTCTCTGAAGGATAATTACTTTAGAAGCAGAGTTTTGCTCTTGTTTAGAGCCATTTCTGTGCTGTTCTGCTCTCAACACGTGAGTGCCTATGACCGGAGCTGCCTGGAATTGGTTCTCCTGCTCCCTTACACTCACTGTAAACAGTTCATTTCCTCTGCCTTCCCCCTGTGATTCCAGCTTGGGTATCATTTCTGCTTTATTGAATGTATGTTAATGGTGCTGCCCTCTCCAGGCTTGAGGAATT